CTTCCTTCCTTCCTTCTTTTTTTCTTTTAGTACATCCAAATATAAAGCGGGCTCAGACTAATAAGCATTTATATAATTTAGCAACTTTTGTTAAATTATTGGCAAGTACAGAATGCATATAAAGAGCATCACTGGAATGCAGATAAAAGAAAATGTGAATATTTTATTTATTTATTTATTTATCATATTTATATAGCCTCCCATCTCACACAAAGTGACTCTTTGCATATGAATAAAACTCTGTCGTGTTTTATCCTCTGGGAAAGGAGATGACTCTCTATTGCTCTGTACAGAAAGCAGCAGTTCCTTGCACCTGGGAAAGGATGAAGGAACAGAGGAATTTGGGCCCAGGTTTGATAATGAAAGGATAAGTGTTGGCTGGGGGGAAAGAGAAGGAATGGGGTGTGTGAAAGCTTTCCTTTGGCAAGTGGCACTGCTCTTCCAGCTGTGGAGGAATTAAGTGGCGCTGAAACTAGGCCCTATCCCTGCTTGTACTTTACACAGCAGAGTCACACCCTTGCTTGCATGATATTGCCTTCATATCATCTCCAGGCTGTGCTTGAAACAACTTTAAATCTTTATTAGAAATACTAGTCTTAAAGCAACATTTTCCCCTTAAACCAACATTATCCCATCATAGCCCCAAGGGGTGTAAAATTCATCATGCTTTGCTGCCCCCTAGCTTGGAGGCAAAGTCAGCTATTGTGGATCTCATCAGAGGCAGGTTGGGAGGCCGAGGTGCATCCTCTGTGGTCATTAGCCATCTTCCACTGCAACCCTGTCTCTCCAAGAGTTAGTCCTCTCCATTAACACTTTGTTTCCCGAGTTCCCTTTAGAGCAGTCATCTCCCCATCTTCCACTCTGATTTGACATCAACTTCTCCCCCAGCTTCCAATAAGGTAGGTGAGAAATGAGCAGGCCACCATCATTTTATTTAACAAAGAGGAATATATTTGTTCTAGTCTGCTTAGCAACCCCAGGCCTTCCCTGTTCCTGCTGCTGTGCTCTGATTAGTGGATATTTTTCCCAGTAGTGATTTGAAAGGAACAGGAGCAAAGCTTGACTGTCAGGGATCCATAGAGGTGGCAAGGGGGACAAGTAACAAAATCCCCCTTGCAAAAACCATGACCTACATACTTGCATCAGACTTCAGAATGCAAGTATGAAGTTCATTTCATGATGTTATTATATCTATGTTGTCATTTTGATGTAATGTTGGTTTGCGTCAATTGCGTCAACTGGGACACCACCATTTCGATGTGACAGATGCAACAGAGGCAAGATAGGGATTGACACAAGGGACAATAAATTGTTTAACAGCTTAAGACCACCACTTTAACTGAATAGTGAGGAAAGATCCATATGATTTGAAAAAGAGAGATGAATGGATAACCTCAGGATTTCTAAACAAGAAAGAGTTAGCATTACAGGAGTGCTACGGGACTTCTGATTTGGAAGGGAAAAAAAGCTATTCTGCTGTTCTGCTGCCATCACTGCTTCCACACAGCAAATTAACCACTGATTATGTTCTTTCTTTCCTTAAACTGTTTTATAGGAAGTTTACTATGTACTCTTTTTCCTCATTCTAAAGAATTTTTGCTGTAGTATAAAGCTCAGGTCCCCTCCAAGGCTGTAAATTGCTCTCTCTTTTGCATTAAGGGTGCTGCTTTAGCTACGTGGCCTAGAGATCATCTTGATGGGGAGGAGGGTATATAATGACACATCATGATTGCTGGAAGCACTTCCCCAGCTCTGGAATATTTTTCCCACAGAGCTTTGCCTTTTTAGTAGCAGGTAAAGTTCCTTTAATTTTCAGAGGCCTTTTCTATCTTTGCCTAATTTAACTGAATTATTATTGTGTCTTCCTATAGTCTTACTGATTTTAACTTGTTTCAGATGGCAATAATTTTGAAAATGTGTATCAGAAAGCATGGCACAAATATCAAATCAGTAAACATTAAACAGTAAAATACATTGCATTACATCAAAATATGTTTTTAAGAGCCCAGAGACAAAAAGCTGAGGATTATTGGAGACAGAACCATCCCAGCAACCCAATGAAAAATTTAAAAATCATTCCTTGATTTTTGCCTTGAAATAAACAAATAAAGAATGGATCTGAGAGAAGATCTCTCACCTGATCAGCACCAAACGGAGTGAGGTTGGCTTTCACAGAGCTGATGCCAAGGGCCAGGATCAGTAGACCAGTGTACAGGAGAGAGGCACAGTATGGACTTGGCAGCTCTTGCTCACACCCTGAGATGTTACCTTGGCACGAGGGCTGTATTGGGTATGCTGGCATCTCTCTGCACAGCCAGAGGTGCCCCTCCTGTGAGGCCGTGGTGGGCAACAGGCTTGCTGAGAGAAGGTAGAGGAGGAAGCTGAACACAATAGTCCAGTAGCGACCTAGGTAAGCATCTGTGAGCCAGACCCCGATGGGGGAGAGCAGGTAGGAGGCCCCTATGAAGACCAAAGCTGCCTGAGAAGCCTGAGAGCCACCCCAATTGAAGGTACTGCTGTTGAGGTACAAGACAAGGTTGGAGATGATACCAAAGAAAGTGCTCGCTCCGGGATCTCCACCAGCAGCACAGCCAGACAGGCAGCCTTTCTGCCTCAAAGGAAGATGGGGCTGGCCCACTGAGGGCTTCCTTCTGCTCGAAAAGGGGATTGCGCTCCCCTTGAGCTTCCCGGGAGACCATGGTGGAGGCCCTATCTCAGAGTCTTTGTTTTTGCCATTTCTCTCTGGATCTTTCTATGCTGGCTTTTATTTCCTGATCTCTTATCTTCTTCAAGCCTTTCAGTGCAGCATTCACTTCTCCATTTCTCTCCTCCAACACAGGCATCACATGACCGCTCATTTCCCTGAAAGGAAACATTCACATTACGCTGGCCAAGATGGACTTCTTTTTCATGGGACTCTTTGCATGTTTTCCCCTGCCCCTTTTCCAGTACCACCCCTTTTGCATCTGCTTTAAACACACACAAACACACACACACAGCCAAATTGCCTGTGTCTATCAAGGCAGAACTACATGACATAGGGGAGCCTCTGACAGACAACATATTTTTAGGTAGGATCAGCCCCAAGTGAAGTGTCCCTAATGCTATCAGTCAAAAACCTTATACAGTTACAGTATTCCAGATTTTCTTCTATAAAATTTTTTGCATGTGTCCACAAAAAAGAAAAAGAAACAAGAAACAAGACAGAAAAGGGTTACCACAACATTTGGACTTTCATAACGTTCCATGAATGAGTCAGGGTGATAATGCGATAAACTGCTTACTTAGGTACTGCCCTATTCACTTCCTTCCTTATAAGAGACAGAACATTCGGTATCTATGCTAATTTATCTCACTTTTGAAGATTTTTGTTGTTCAGTCGTTAAGTCGTGTTGATTTCCTTTAAGATTGACTGGTTTGACCTCCTAGCAGTCCAGGGGACTCTTAAGA